TTTGCCGCGTGGAGCACTGGGTGCTGCGTGCTCCGGGCGCACCTCGCCAGTACGGCGCCGGCTGGGACAACAAAGGGAAGCGTGGACAGAGGAAGGAGCTTCGAGGTGCGGGAGAGGCGGGGCCCGAGGTCAGTTTCCCCGAAAGCCCGCGCCGAGAGGGAGGGGATCCGATGGGGTGGCACACCGCCCCGGTCCCCTTCCTCCCAGGCGACCCCGATGCAGCCTCCCCGGGGCGGCGGCGGGGAACCCGCGCGGACGCGCTTCGGCAGCCAAGTTACTCCGGCAACCCCCTCCCCCAAGCGGCGGCGGATTCCTGGAGTCTCCTAGCTTCCCGCGCCAGCCCTGCAGCCCATTCTTTTGTGTCCCGCAGCCCGGGAGAGCCTCCTGCGGCGGAGGAAGAGAGGGCAGGAGGGGCCCCGGCCTGGCGGTGGGTTGGAGAGCTAGACTGGGGGGAGCCGGCGCCCCAGGCTTCCTGCAGCAACAGGTTGAGCCTTAGCCCCAGGCGGCTCGCTGACCCTTCTCCCGCCCGGGCTCCCGGATCCCGAGAGGCTTTCCAGGCCGCCTGTGGGCTGCGGCTGACCTTTGTGAAGACACGCAGGTGAATGATTGGGGTCCTTGAACGCCCCACTGGAGACTCAAGCATCTGCTTTTACATGTCAGGTTGAACCTTGCGAAATGGAGCCGTTTTTGTGGCTCAAAGACTTTCTCACTCTTTTGAGAGTATCCTCGGAGCTGTCCTGTCAATCAGGGTGAGCCCGGGGCCGCGGTGGGGTTTGTGGGATTGATCCTGGCAATGGCAGTAGGGACCTTTCATTGACTAGCAGCTGTGTGCATTCGGGGTCTCACCCTCCAACACCATTCAAAACCCCACTTTACAGATGAGCAAAGCAAAGCACTGAGAAGGTAAGCAACTTCTCATGGCAAGGTTAGTGAGGGGAACTAGAGACTCCTGCCCTGTCTCAAGTGAGGCCTGTTGTCACTTCAGCAATGACCTTTAGTTTTGTTTTGTTTTCTTGATATGCCCCATAATTGTTTTTAAATGAACTTCTTTGTGATTTCTGCCGTGGACTATTTCTGTGCATTCCCAGCACCGTGAAGCAAACAAGTGTATCAAAGGGCAAGTGTATCAAAATAATAAGGCTTTAAACCAAATATTATTTTATTGGTACCATTTAAAATATGACGGTTTTCCAGGGGACCAAGAGCTACCTCAGATATGTTAAGGGGCAGGATGCTTTGTTGCAAGTGACAGAAGCCCACTCTCGGTAATTTTAGCAGAAATGGGACTGAGGACTGGGTAGCTTAGAGAAGTGACAAGGAGGCTGGCTAGCCGGGCTCAGGAGCTCATGCGGGACATACAACAGGACCCCTGATTGCTGTGTGGCCACGGATGCCACCACAAGGCCCTGGATATGGCTGCTGACACTGTGCCATCGTGTCTAGAATGAATTAGAAACTGCCCCTGCGTGAGTGTGCGCTCCAGGCACAAGCCCAGGAGTAAGCATCTGCTTGGTGAGTCTGAGGCACCCCCCAGGGCACAATTTGGGCACCTCAACTGACCTCACCATGAAACCCAGGGGTGTTGCCCACAGGACTCACAAAGGTGGAGTCTGAAGTTGAGCAGCTCATCCCTCCCCCAAATCCCAGATGACCAGTTCCTACTACAAAGCTCCTTTTGAAGGAAACTCCACCAAAAGGAGAAGAAATGAAGGTGGACGGTCACCATATTTGTTTTTCAAACAGTCTTTGTGGAAGTTCCATCCTCCGGGCTCCAAGCTCACAATCATGTGAAATATTTGCTCAAACTTCGCATTCTTGGGCCCCCTTTCCAGTTTGAACTCAGTGTATTTGCAATGGACACCAGGAATCTGCACCCCATAAATCAGAAAAATGGTGAATTCGACTTCTTGATTTGTCCAGTGCCCGTGTGAGGAGGTAGCCCCCGAGGGAACAGTTTCCAAGGCTTGCAAAGTTGAGGGTCCCAGCAGAAGGCACTGCCCCAGGATGGTAGACCAGTTGCTGTGCAATGGGTGAATCCAGCAAGGAGACAATCTGCTGCATATATTGTGGGAATAGCGACAAACACCCCGACACCTCCCTTCCAGAGGCTTTGGGACCACCGATAAACACTTGATACAATTTTGAAATAGGTAAAAATGACCGTGTCATGTCAGTTCTCCCTCTACCCCTCACCACTGGATTTCAGCAATCCTTACTGAGTGCCTACTGTGTGCCCGACTCCGAGGTACAGAGACGAGTAAATCAGGGGCCCCACACAGCAGCTGGGATGGATCAGCTCAATGCAATAGAAGAAGGGCATCTGGGGAAGGCGTCATTGCCAACTGGCATGAGTTAGGTGAGGAAGCGTGCGGGAACAGTGCTGGTTCTCAAACTTCAGTTGTGCTGAGAATCAGTCACCGGGAAGAGTGTTAGAAGTGCAGATTAATGCACTTGGTGTGTGGCCACAGATGCCACCACAAGGCCCTGGATATGGCTGCTGACACTGTGCCCAATAATTAGCATTTTATATAAATACCCCATTATATGGGGATGCTGCTCTGGGGCCGGGAGAGCTGGCCTCCGTGTGTTCGGGCAGTTCCAGGAGCTGCCCTGAGATGCCCTGGCTGCCCCCTGAGCTTAACAGGTGAGGTCCCCTCCGAGATGCCTTTCGCCTTGACTTTTATTAATTTTCTGGGGTTTCCTAAGTCGTGAGATTTTAGTATTTTCCTCACATTCAGCCCACACTTAAGGGGGATGGCACGACACTTTGGAGCAAAGGGTGAAGAAATCTGGACGGTAGCTGTGGTCCTGGCTGGCTTGATTGGTGCTTCCAGCCTCGCAGCAGTGAGTGGGGCCGCCTCTCATGTGCGATTTGCCTTCCCCGCTTTTTCAGGAGGAAGGTTGAGACTGTTTCTTCCAAGCTCTCCCTCAGGCCTCCTGCCGTCTCTCTCCTTCCCTGGCTGAGGCCCGGTGGTGGCCTCGCCAGGAAGGCAGCTTTTCTTACCCGCTGAGCCTCTAATCCTTCCAGCTGCTGTGCTCCCTGCCCCTCCCTTAGCTGCAAACAAGATAAGATGGGCGTGTGGTGAGTGTGTGTGCTGTGCGTATATAAGTTTCGGGCATGTATGGAGCGTGTTAGTGTGTGTGGTAGGCGTATGTGTGGTGTGTGAATGTGTAGTGTATCAGTGTGTGGTGTATCTGTGTGTTAGTGTGTGTTATGTGGATGTTTTGTGTAATGTGTGTGTGTGTGTGTGTGTGTGTGTGTGTGTGTGTGTGCATGCCTGCCCGCTGGTCTAAAGGACGGCGGCCAGCCTGAATAACACACACCGTCTCCTCTCCCCTCTCTCTCCCGCGCGGGGTGGCCCCGGAGACCCGCCCAGAGTGACCTGCAGAGGCCAGCTTGCTTCGTGTCTTTCTCATCTGTCCTCTCTGGAGACGATGGGAAGGTGGCGCAGAACAGGCCCGTGTTTGAGCGTACACGCGGGTGGCTTCCAGTCAGGACCAGTGAAAGGCTAGAGCCTGCAGCGCCGAGGACGGGGCGCCTGCAGCAGCGAGGCCTGGAAGGGCCAGTGCAAAGTCACCAGGGTCCTGGTGTACCCGTGGGTGCGATGGAGTGTGGACGCGGAAGGCCATACGGGGTTAACCCGGTTGGTGCCGGGAGCCAGAGGGGCTGAGCAGCCCCGTGATTAGATAGAGAGAGTGTTCAGGGTCATTCTGTTGGGAGCTCTGTGCAGAAGTAACTTGAGTGGGACGGGGCTTAGAAGATGAGGCAACATCCAGGGGATTAAATTCGAATTAACATCTTTCAGGAACACTCAGATAGTTCCTGAAATCCCACCTTTGTTTGGAGCTTTCTTTGACTTGGGGGAATGCAGGCAGTGGGGCCTCCGGCCCCTTGTGCAACGCGTCACTGTCTGGACCCCCCTTCCACCCTCTCACGGTGTTTCAGGAGCACCCTGCCCTTACTCTGAAAGTTACTGAGCATGTATCTAATGTACAAAATGGTACGCAATCAGGGCGTTCCTGACCCCAGTTCAGAGAGTACGAGCACAGCATCCCAGGTCTTCTGGTAGGTTCTGTTCTGATGCTCCTAGTTCCTCGCAGTGGCACCAGCCACACCATCATTTTGATTTATATCCTGCAACACTTACTGCGTCTGACTCTGTGCCCTGTCCCCCGTTCACGGTTGGGGACAGAAACACAAAGGGACAGGGTCCACTTTGGGGACCTTCTAGGTCTCGTGCCCTCACTAGACACTGGCTTGGTAGCTGCTTCTAGAATTCCTGTTCATTTCTCCCGCCGACCCTTGGGGCGGGTACCCTGTCTCTCATCACTGGGACCCCCAATTTCCAGGTAGTGACTTGGCGGCAGAAGTTTCCATCACGATTACCCAGTGGACGTGTTAGAAAGATAGATTCCAGTGTCATCCAGCCTTAGAGAGTTTGGTTCCTGCCCTTGAGGCCTTCTAGTTTGGATTGAGGGTGAAGTGGAGAGGGGGATGCCTGAAATAAGGTCAGTGAGCAAATGAGTAGAATAAAAGGCAGAGAAAATGAATCTCCAGAGGTACGGACAGCAACAGCAGCCTGGAGAAAAGCAGTCTATGGCAGGAGGCCTCTGGACCCCTGAGACACAGGGCTCTTTAGGAAAGGTGTCCTGGTGTCCTGCTCAGAGCTTGGGCTTTCAAGGCAAAGTCCTGGTTTTGAACTGTGGCCCCACCGTTAATACAGCCGTCACCTTGGGCAAGTCCCCGGGAAGTCCTCTCTGTGGTTGTTTCCTTATCTGTAAATGGGGTCCAGCCAGCACAGCATGTAGAACATTGTCCAGAACATAGTAAGTGGCCGGTAAGTGTCGGTTTCTAAGCCTTCTCTACACCATAGGGTGTTTCTTGAACCCATAAAAGGTCTGTGTTCTGCGTCTGGCCCCTGGGGAGGGACCTTCTGGCTTTCTTGCCCCAGCAGTTCTAAGCAGGCTCTGCGTTTGCCTCCCACACAGCGGATTAGGCAGAGTGCTGGCTCTAAAGCTTTGCAGGGAAGGTCCTGGGGCAGGCAGGCTGCATGCCAAGTCACTGCTGCCCTTCTCTCCCACCAGGGATGGTGCCTTGAGCCACGGAGCCAGACCCACACCCACAGAAGGCCCTTGGACGCGGTTCACTGCATGCCAGCCCAGCCAGGAAAGGGAGGACTCCTCACACCCCGGGCTCTCCGCGCAGGAAAAGGAACGCAGGCTCCTGTCTCACCCAAGGCTTCCAGAACCTCTGAGACGGGAGGCCACCAGCTCCACCTCATGCGTGGGGGACCTTGCTAGCGATGGCCCTCCTCCTCGGCTTCCTACTGCTGCTGCTGGAGCTCTGCAGGAATACCCTCTCCCTGGGATCACGGTCATCTACAGAGGGTACGGAGGTCTTGGAATTGGAATTGCCTGCCACGAACTATGAGACCAAAGACTCCTACAAAGCTGGGCCCATTGGCGGTCTCTTTCAAATCGTGCACATCTTCCTCCGCGTGGTGCAGCCCAATGATTTCCCCGAAGGTGAGTGCCCGTTGCATAGAACAGAGAGGACTTGTCCCCAGACACGCTGCCGTGTGCGCACACGATATTGTTTGTTAATAACGATATAGTAAGGGTGTAATATACTCAGCATTTTAAAGCATGAGATTCAAAGTGATTGGACTGCACAGGAGCAGAAAGTATTGAGACAGAAGTTAAGAAAACTTGCACCAGCTTAAATAGACTGTCAGGAATGTGATTATAAGAAATGAAATCAAACTGTGTTGCTAAGTTGGTTTTCCAAGTCTTGATCTTTCTTCCTTCCCTCTTTTTTTTTTTTTTTTTCCTTCCTGGTTAGAGCAATGACTTACTCTCAAGTGCAAACTGCAGGTAAAAATGAGGGTAAAAATGCAAATTCTTTGACATCAAATAAGTTAATAATTACCTCTGGTGGCTAGACCTGCACTTACAAATTGGCCTCTCCTCCACCCACCACAAAGTGCAATTTCACATTGCTTAGGACAAAGACAGGCCTGACCCAGTGTGTTTACCTGAGTGACTGTTTGCTTCAGTTCCAAGACCTTACGTGTGAGGAAAGGAGGGATGGCTCCTTGTTGGAGCCTTGATGGCATGGTGCCTCACACTTCGTGAGGACCGCTGTGTTTGTCCTACTCCCTGTACTCAGAAATCTGTGGGTATGTGTTTTCAGGAATGAGATTATGAAGATTTAAATGGTCTGTGGGAAGTATGTGCTATTAGGGTTTGGCAGTCTAAATACTTATTGACTTAATATTACATCTCTTCTAGGCTTGTTTTTTAAACTAAGAAGATTTGAACACTCTTATTACCACAATATACAAATTAAAAATTTGTGGTAATCATTATCATCTTCCTTAACTGGTTAGCTGTTGTTCATAAGAGAATTGTGTGTGTGTGTGTGTGTGTGTGTGTGTGTGTGTGTGTGAAAGAGAGAGACAGAGACAGAAAGATGGAGAGAGGGTGAGAGGGAAAGAGAATGTATTTTGTGGACTTTAACACTTGTTTGTATTATGGGCATTGGTAGATTTTCATTAAGACCCATTTATATTGGAATTGTTTTGGATTGGGGCACCTGGGTGGCTCAGTTGGTTAAGCATCCGACTTCAGGTCAGGTCATGATCTCTCAGTTCACAAGTTCCAGCCCTGCGTCGGGCTCTGTGCTGACAGCTCAGAGCCTGGAGCCTGCTTCGGATTCTGTGTCTCCCTCTCTCTCTGCCCCTCCCCCGCTCATGCTCGCTCGCTCGCTCTCTCAAAGATAAATACAAACACTAAAATTCTTTAAAATAAAAAAAAGAAAAATTTTTCATTTATTTATCTTAGATTAAGCAACTGAAACAGTTCGAAGTGTTCTTAATTTTTTGTTAGTTTAAGTTTTAATTCAATGAAACAAATCACTCTGGGCCCTATCGTCATTGAAGAGAATCCTAAACAAATACTACTTACTATTTATGTCCCTGCTTAAGAGACTAAATCTGGAAATCCAAAAGACAGAAGTAGAAAATAAACAGTTTATTTATTAATATTGGATACAAGTTCACTATTCTTAGTAGATACCTTTTCACTTATTTGTAGCGTTGGTGTAAATATTATTGAATAAACAAATACCTACTAGCGTTTGTAGTCTTAGCTTCTTTGCTTTTTATGCAAAAGGAATAGAATTCAGTTATTTCATATGAATTTATAGTGACATCTTCAAAAAAGATTGTGAAGCATCCATGTGTTATTAAGGCATATCATGTAATTAGTTAATCCTATAATCTCTTTCCATATGTTGCTTTATTTTGCTTCCTCAAGATTTCATAGGGCAGCTTCCTCGCACTTAGTTTACAAGGGAAAGCCATATTTTTTAAAGTCTTCATTCAAACAATCAGGTCAAATGGCATTTTGCTTCCAATGCATTCTAATATTTTGAACTCCAGCATCATTATTACTCTGGAAGGAGGCGTCTGAAGAACTTAAATCCTGCTGTAATCTGAGGGTGTTAGCCCTGCTTGTCCCTTGACCTTCATCAATACTTATTACTTTGGAAGAAGAAATTCCCAAAAGTCTCAACAGGAGATCAGAGCAGACCAGCAGTGCCCCTTTCAAAAAACAAACCAAACCAAACCAAAACAAAACAAAACTCATTAGGTTCCTTAAAGAATATTATATTGAATTTCACAGGTGACATCATGGAGTGTTGGTTTTTTCCCACCACCTCATTATTTAAATTTTTTCATCTAGTTACTAGATTTCATAATGGTCTCAAAGTGTCCATTAGGTGCTTTGTCACATAAAGGAAAAATACGAGACACATTTTTTCCTGCTGGGGCCAGCGCATTGCATGAGCACCAGATCTTAGGCAGGTGTCTTCATAATTGAAGATATAAAACAACAACAGTGGGAGAAAGAGAGAGAGATAGAGAGAGAAAAGGAATCCTATTTAGTAGCTTAACTAATGCAAGGCATTAACCGAAACAGATGACTTCAGGACAGGTCTTCTATAAAATAACATCCTCGCAGAAAAAATTATCCCCTAGGTATACTCTTTCATTCGGAAGAGTAGAGTGATTTATTTTTTATTTATTTAAAAAAAATTTTTTTAATATTTATTTTTGAGAGAGAGAGCACCAGCAGAGGAAGGGCAGAGAGAGAGGGAGACACAGAATTTGAAGCAGGCTCCAGACTCTGAGCTGTCAGCATAGAGCCTGACGTGGGGTTCGAACTCACAAACCGTGAGATCATGACCTGAGTCGAAGTCAGACGCTTAACCAACTGAGCCACCCAGGCACCCAAGAATAGGGTGATTTAGATTCAGAGTCGGGGTCCAGTGCAGGAGTGGGAGAGAAAGGAGGACCTTCCAGCCTGGGCTCCCTTTTTTCATGCCATTGGACTGGGAAGTTTTCCACTTTACCTCCTGTGTCCGAGCAAAACAGCATACCACATTTTGCATTTGTAACTCTCTAAAGCAAAGCCTGGGTTGTAGCCTTATAAATACAAGATGGAAGGTCTTGTTTAGCTGGGACTTGAGACAAAGGCCTACTTAACTTCCTGGGCAGACCAGAAATACAGGTAACTGCCATATGCCACAACAGAATATGCCCAAGAACCTGGTGTGGGTACTTCATAAATACCTGCCCTGGTCTGAAGCTTCAAGAAGGATACTGAGTCTTGGGCTTTAACTCACTCAGAAGAGAGCGATGGCTTACATTTGGGAGGAGTCACTTGTCCATTCATTCAACTTAGAAAGGGTGTCAATGGCAGGATGACCAGGGGGAGCTGAGGGAAGGGTGTTCTAGCCATGGGGAAGAGCATGCCCAGGGAGTGGCGGAGATAGTGGTTCATGGGGGACCCATGAGGTGGGTATTCATGGAATAAGTCTGCGAAGGTCAGAGAGCCAGAGCTAGAGGACCCTGACTGGCAGGCTGGGGAGTTTTGTAGAGAGAAGGAACCTAAATCAGCATGAGCAAAGGTTTCACTCATTTGGCAAGCATTTATTGAGAGCCCCTGCTTTCTGTTATATACCTGCTAGGGGTTGTGAGCCAGGGTGGAAGGGGAATTGAGTTTTGGGAAAAGAATCTGATAGTGGCTGGTAGGAGACGTATTAGGGAGGTAGAGGTCCAGAAGGAGGTAATAATGGACTAACTTAGCACAAGGCAAAGGTATTGGGGAAAACAGAGGCAGGATCCATTTCATGGATTTCATTTCAAAGGACTTTGGTTCAAACATACTCTTGCCTATTACCTACCGAATGACTTGGCCAAGTTAATGTTCAGAACCTCTGTTGTCATAGACGTATTATGACTGTAATCATACCTTGCTTTATAGCTTTGTCTGTGAGGCCGTATGTAAAGCCTATGTTTAAAACTGTGGCTGAAAGGCATAGACACAAATCCTCAATCAGTGTAGCTGCTATTAATATTATTTGAGAGGAAGAATTGACCACATTTAATGCCAAGATTGGTGTCGAAAAGGGACGTGGGAAAAGGATGTCTCCAGGAGGGATCATTAAAATGTCCTTGCTGCTGCTCTATCAGGAATATTCTCCATGGAGTTGCCTTGTAAGAATTAGTTCCATTACTTTTGAAGTTTAGCGGGCTGTGTCTCCTGGTAAAGCCCCACAGTAGCAGAATGGGGTCTAGAAGGCAGGGCTTGGGTGCAGTGCTTGTCTACTGAGTGGTCTTTACTCCTCCACAAAAACGCTCACATCCGTTTTTGTTTCTTTGTTCTTCCCTGCTGTCCCCAGTATCTGCTGTAAGGCGTACTTTGCTAAGTGTTAGCTCATTTGACTCTCCCAACAACTTTGGGAGGTAGATGATGGTGGTAACTGGTGGTCCTATTTCTATTCTATTCTATTCTATTCTATTCTATTCTATTCTATCCTATTCTATTTCTATTTCTATTTTTTTTCTATTTCTATTTCTATTATACCCACCGTTAGAGATTGGAAAGCTTGAGTCAGAAGGAGATGATATATTCAAGGTACACAACCATCCTCTGGCAGATTGAGAAACCCCTGTCTCCAGGAGTAGTTATTTCTCCTATATTCCACAGCCTACCTTGTGGGTAATTTATTTCCCTTTTACTTTACCAAAGTGCTTTAAAAGTGTCTGCGGGTCACTATAAAAAATGGTAATTTTTACACACTAAAAGCGTGTGCTGCAGAAGATCATCTGGTGTGGATGCTGACTAGTGCCTTTTCAGTTTCATGTATCTGTGATGAATTTGGCATAAATCATGACCCAGATCAGAGCTATTCTATTGGAGCAAGTGGGGAAAAAAAAAGCATTCTCTGCTTTTATTTAAAAAAATTTTTTTTTTCCAACGTTTATTTATTTTTGGGACAGAGAGAGACAGAGCATGAACGGGGGAGGGGCAGAGAGAGAGGGAGACACAGAATCGGAACCAGGCTCCAGGCTCTGAGCCATCAGCCCAGAGCCTGACGCGGGGCTCGAACTCACGGACCGCGAGATCGTGACCTGGCTGAAGTCGGACACTTAACCGACTGCGCCACCCAGGCGCCC